TGAATCAATGGGGAGGACGGAAACTAACTGGACTAACTCACTATTACTGAGAATACAACATGAGTTAAAATTTTTTGGCATTCGTTTCTGAGGCATATTTTTTTGGAGCTGTATATCTATTAGAATCTTGGCGCTTTCGCAAAAGGATTAGCCATGCACTTTAAGGCAAATGTATATCTTTTTAAATGTTTATAATTGGGCTATTTTCTCATTTGCGATACTTTGTTGGATTACTCGCATATTCTTAAATTTTATTGGTTATGTCGTGATCTGAATTCTATGCGTAGGGTATAGGAGTTCTGATCTTAGACCCGTTGGTAAGGTAGGGGACGAAGGAGGCTGTATCGACTCAAAAAGTGTGAATATCTGTGCAATGGTAAAATGGAGATGGGAGTCCCGAAAACCTAATCACTTGCGAAAAAAGTGAAATAGATGTTCTGGTGCCCAAAAGGGATGATGGTACGAACGGGAGAGGATAGTGGTGTTGATTCGACGTCATTCTGAGCCAAGCGCTTTTGCTCCCCTAAACCAACTAGTCTCGTGTAGATGCGGACTTTATGACACAGTCCATAGAACATCTTGCTTGCGTTTTGAAGCTAGGCCGGCGCGCTCTTGTTTACAGACAGGTCCAATCGACGTTGCCTCGACGTAGACGCAGATACGAGACGCGAAGATTGTGATGTGCCGGGCGAACTAACTTGGTTGACAAGTGATTTGGCCTCTTTTTCGCAACTTGGCCGTGTTGCCAGAGTGATCTAGATGAAAGCAACCGGCCCGAAGTCTCCTGCCATAGTAGTCATGAATATTTCCAGCCTTGGACCGTGGACTAAGTGCATTTCCAGATGGTTCGTAGACATCGTGGTCAGCATTGCCAATGAGGCTATGACGCCATAATGGGGGCCTCCAGCTTCTACAAGCGCGGAGCTTGGGGGCTATTTTGGACGTTCGGCTAAGGCACGACGTTGCTGTGCCGGCGTGATTGGAGAGAGCTTCAGCAGAACAAGTAGCGGCACGACAGCAGACTTCCTCATCCAAAAGCGGTGATAGTGCTTCGGAGAAAGTCCAGAGCCACGTGCCAGCAGACGTCGTTGACCAAAGAATGGGGGGCTCACGGAGAAATTGGTTCAGCCTGTAATTCTTTCTATCAAGTACTTTGCTGACACGTAAAGCCCAGCTTCTGATGTGAGACTGGTGAAGGTGAGGTTCGTCGCCAGCCTGTGCTCTTTGACTCTTGTGTACCTGGATAATGTGTAAAGGGAGAAAAGCTAGTGGAAAAGGTGCATACTGTAGAGAATGCTGCTTTCAGTGTCAGGTATCGAGGTTACATGAAAGTGATAGGGTCAACCAAAAATACCGAGCAGAGGATAGCGAAATGGTGAGGAAAAAGGGCCTGCGATGCCATAATCTCGTTGACTTATCGCTCAGGCCCAGCATGACCCGTCATGAATAGGATAGTTATGCGAATGTGTAATCAAATGCAAACTTCGTTTAATTTTATACAAGTGGGTTGACTCGTTGTCGCAACTTGGTCTTGTTGTCAGGGCGAATTAGCAGAACGCACCTAGTCCGAAGTCGTCTACCAAAGTAGTTGTCATAATTCTTACCATCAGACAGTGGACTTGGAACATTTTTAGACGTTTTCGGTAGAACGTTGGTCGAAGGAGTGACTTCACTTGTCTCTTTGACGAGTTCGTAGCTTGGTGCGGAGACTGGCAAAACTCACTGATGATACTGACTATGATGCCGGCGAAGCGTTTGAGAATGTACCAAGTCAACTGTCTCATGCTGGGAATCATGACAACTACTATGGCATATAACTTCGGACTAGGTACGTTCTACTAAGTCGCCATGACAACAAGACCAAATTGCGATAAAGAGGTCAACAAACTTCTATAAATAGAAGGGAGACTTCGACTATACCAGGGGACACAACATCTTGGTCTTCATATTTTCGTTTAACTTTGTTGTTTTGGCCTCTTTTGCCTATTGCCCAGTTGCACGACTCTGTCCAGTCCAGCATTACTCTGGTTGAACGCGACTTGTTGTTTTCACGCCTCGGCCTTCATCGTGGACAGAATGCCTTTACATTTGGGGCACTACAGACGAACAGCTCGTCCTTTTCTGCATCGGTGTACAAGACGACACCCCGCCCGGATCGCGAAACTGGGGGATCATCCGAGCTAGGCATGCCCGGCCGATCAGCCTCGTACATCAGACAGACCTCGAGCTTTTCGCGTAGCCTCTCCAACACGTCTACGGCTCTTCGAGGCTCAACAGATCGGCTGCGCGACACCCTTGACTCTGTTGACGACTGCGCAAGCGAGGACCGAGCTGAGGAAGATGAGGACCAGGAGAGCATGACATCCGGCATTCCTGTGTGTTACGGGGCCTCGCCGAGACTGCGTACTCTGGCTCCAAGGCTTCACTCCACTCTGCATGCCATCATTCTGCAAGTTAATGACTTTCTGCTCCAGGCGAGGTCCGAGTCGTTGAGCGCCGTATTGACCAACTTTCCACAACCTTTCGACGACAGGATTGGTGTTGCAGCCACTTCGACTTTCAGCAGCACGGCCCAACGACCGATGGACAAGCAGCTTGAAAGCCAGGTGGGCGGACTAACTATGGCGATACAGTTATCTTTATCTCATTGGGAAGACTTGTTACGACAGAGTTGATGAGCTCTGTAGAAGCGAGCGAGCAATCATATGGTCGAAGATGAATCTGCTCCGCTTTTTGCCATCTGAATACTTTATCTTTTGACCATTGCCAAGATGATCATTCTCGTTTTGATAGTCACCTTTTTACTGTTTTTCCGCTTACATGATACAGCCCTTGAGAACTATATGATAGGCGTTTTTATCACAGATTTCTTATAGCCAGGCCGCAGTGGCAAAACTATTGACATTTAAATCTATATCTTCACATATCCCCTCCTTACTTCAACTATTCGAATTTGGCTTTTTCCAATGGTAAACCTTGATGCTGCTATTCATTTTGAAAATACTTTTCACTTTGCCATTCTAATATTATCTGCTTGTATCCGATTATATTAAGGAAGACCTGTAAATTCGCAGATAACAGTCACTGAAAGTTTGAGTTTCGCCTTGCGACCACAGACTTTCTTTTTCCAAAAGTGGGTTGACCTCGTTGTCGCAACTTGATCTTGTTGTCAGGGCGACTTAGTAGAACGCACCTAGTCCGTCCTCGTTGTCGCAACTTGGTCTTGTTGCCAGGGCGACTATGTAGAACGCACCTAGTCCGAAGTCGTCTGCCCATGATTCCCAGCATCAGAAAGTGGACTTGGTACATTATCAAATGTTTCTCCGGCATCGTAGTCGGCATCATCAGCGAGTTCTGCCATTCTCTGCACCAAGCTACGAACTCGTCAAAGAGACAAGTGAAGCCAATCCTTCGACAAACGTTCTGCCGCAAACGGTTACACTCTCACTCCTCTTTCTGTTCTGGCCTATCTATCTACTCTTTACACTGTTATCCAACTGCCGCCATATCACAACTTGTCACTTGTTTACATTTCACTCGTCAAAATGTGTGCAGTTTTGTGGCGAATCAACTGTGGCCTCATCACTATTGCTATTTACCCCGACCCTTCTCTTTCGATGGGCTTATCCGACTCGGGCCTCCAATCCGGATCCTTTCATTGTCTCGTAGATCCGTTCTTTATCTTTCTGGTTGACCGATTTCACTCGGTTCTAGTCCCTGTGTGTATTTCACTTCAGGCGCTATTTCTCAAGGCCCTAGAAACACGTACACTTCCGCTTAACTGAGCGGAGCGCCTAAACTCTGATTGCCATGCTTGCAGATATCAGGCCTTCCCTTCTCGGGTCGTCTCCTTCATTAAACCCAAGTTATCTGAGCAAATTGTGGACGCCTATCTCTGGTCGCATGCG